ACACACACACACACACACACATTCCTGTCCCATTGATCCTGTGAGTCCTTAAGCAAACAGGTGCAATTTAACATCTGGAATCATAATGGAAACAACCTGCTCTGTAGCCTTCCTTCACATGGAGGATTTTTTAAAATATTTACCTCTGGCAAGGGCGAGGTAATGTTTTCGGTCGCGTATGTCTTTTGTTCTGTCGTTCTGTCTGTGGAAAACATTACTCAAAAACTTGTGGACGGATTTTCATGACGTTTTTACCACATGTGGGTACTGGGCCAAGTAACACACCTGATGATCGACTCTTTTAAATGAAACCAGAGAGCGTTGACAGAGAGGAGAAGGTAGAAATGACTCAGCCTGGAACTGAAAATATGGATGGAGGACAACAGAGCTGCTTCATGGAAGAACAACCTCAGATTAGCCTGTTAGCTTTAGTCTTAGCACCGATGCTATCACCATATATATGTATTAGCTCAGCGCTACACGTTCTCCTCTCGTCACTGAGGTCCTCCATCCACATGACAGAGAGGGGAACGCTGTTAGTTTCGCTGCTAGCGCTGAGCTAATACATATAAAGGCTTTATAGCGTCAGCGCTAAAGCTAACAGGCTAATCTGAGGTTGTTCTTCTATGAAGCAGCTCTGTTGTCCTCCATCCATATTTTCAGTTCCAGGCTGAGTCATTTCTACCTTCTCCTCTCTGTCAACGCTCTCTGGTTTCTCTGATCCGAGTTAAAATATATTTTAAAAAATGATAAAAACTAAACATCCTACAGTATTTTTACAGTCTTTATTTTACAGTTAAAATAAATGTTTATCAAATAAAGTCTAATGTTACAACTAATCAGGGATCCCTTTAAGGTTGAACGTGACACAGAACCAGACAAAGGTTTAAACACAAAGAGAAGTTGTGTTCACACCTTGTACCAGTAGCCCCGCCCCCTCGTACAGAACCCTTTAACACTGTTACACACGACTAGCACCAGTACAGCAACACTTCAAAACTAAATCTAGAAAATTTTAAATCATGGTAAAAACTGTAGGAAATAAAGTAGATGTTATTTCTAAGGTTTGGGGTATCAGAACACATCAGTGGACCCCAGATTAATCTTCTGTGTAGATGTTCACCTTATAAATGCGACCTCCATCAGAATCAACACTTCGTGCCGTCGATGCGGCACGCATGAACAGAAGTGACGTCACCTTCAGCTGTTTACAGGAAACACAGATGCTACGTGTTAGCGTGTCGATTCTAACATGATCTGACGTGTTTAATTCAGTGTTTATATCTGAACCTGCCTCTGGTTTTATTTATGGAGCGAAACGACGTGCCGGAAGTAAAACTGACTAAAGTATCAATCCAATATTTTCCTCTTGATACGGTCCGAGACCGACATTACGATCAGTATCTCTGTGGATTCTCACTAGGCCTGTGTATTGGCAAGAATTTGGTGATACGATACATATAATGACAGAGGGGTCACGATACGATATATCTTGATATATTGCGATACTATAAACAAGGCGATATATCGTGATATTTTTTGTACAAAAATTCTATTAAATAAAAACCTCTTACAGTAGAAAAAAAATGAAAAACCAAAATTCATTGTCTCAGAAAATTCTAATATTACAGAGACATACTTTTGATACATTTAGCTGTGTTCTGCTTTATATGTATTTTATTTTGTTTCATATTTCTTATTTCATCCATGTTTTCAATTATTTGACTAAATTTGACAATAAATAGTTAGAAAATATTTTTTGCAGCTTTTAGTTTTTAATATTAATTTACAATATGGTCAACCAACACTTAACAATAGCCTCTACCTCAAGAGGTAGAGGAGCCAAATGGCTGGCTCACTGCTGCCAACTAGTGGTCAGAGGCTGAACTACAACATAAAAATGAACGGCTGGCAGGAAAGTTGACATTTTAAACCTTAATAAAAAATCGATACAGGACTTTAGAATATCGATACCGTATCGGGAAATGAAATATCGCGATATTTCAGTGTATCGATATTTTCTTACACCCCTAATTCTCATCCTGGACGTGGAAAACTGGAGAGGAAGCAGCTGGACTTGTGTTCTGCAGCTGAAGATGTGGAGCTACAAGATTTAACCTGCATGACTCCAGCTTAGTGTCTTTAATCTATCTGTGTACCTCGTCCCAGTTCTACACATCGGACCGATACGATATTCTAAAAAATGATTAATTTCATCCGATACCGATATTAATGCTGATATATCGTGCATCCCTAATCGAGTGTTCATGTTAGCTGCTTCCACTGAGCTCTCGTGAGCCTGATAGTGATGTGTCATACACAAAAATACATGACACAGCATTAGCAGTAATTAAAGTGACAAATTTTAATTGACAGTTTTATTGACACCCTCGTGAGTACCCAACCTGAAGTACTTGTACTCCGAGGAAAACCTGGTATCAGGACACCTCTAGTCCAGATACACAAAACCTTAGAAAACATGTTTTTACCATGATTTTGGAACCGTTAAGCTCCCTAATCTGTGTACTTTCTGGTTGAACCAGAACCTGGCAGCAGGAGCAGAGAGGAGGTGTGTGCGTTAGAAAACTGCAGAGGTTAACGTGGAGGAACTCGGACCAAGTCCCCGGGTTAGAGAGGCAGGCGACAGGACGAGTCCAGCGCAGAGAGCGGGAACACTTACCCGATGACCGGCCTGGGCGGGTGGAGACAGATACAGAAGGGTGGAGGTGGGTGAGACAGGGAGGAAAGAGGGGGAGACGTGTGCGTGAAGTAGAACAACACGGGACACCATCAGAGATTGGGATGAAAAACACAATAAAAACAAAAAAAGAAAGATTTGGGACAAATTAAAAAGTGAATGGATTAGGTGACAGATTAATAAACAACAAAAATATGTGATTGAGACACTTGTTATAGGCTGGTTAGTGATGACAAAACAATAAATAATCAAACACTCAGAGCAGCTTAGTGAAAAAATAAATAAATTATGCAAAAAGACATAAACTGCACCTTTATTGGAGAGATCCTAAACTCCCTAAAGGTTGAGTGAAATGAAGCATTTTAAACGCATCTGCCTCAGAAAACTTAAACCGGATGTTAAAAACCTCAGATGAAAAAGTTTCCTTTAGCTGGTTTGGAGATAAAAACATAAACAACTCGTGCTTAATAAACAAACAACAATAACTCTGGAGAACAAACAAACAAARTAAAAAAGTGAGAAGAGGTGCTTTTTCAGGACTAAATGATTTCTCGGCTGTCATGTGATCCGTGTCAGAAACGAGCTCGGTTCCGACACTGAGTTCGCCTTGTAGACAAGAAGTCGCCATTTTGACGTCGACTGTTGRTTTAATAAAAACATTTATGGCATAAAAAACGAACCAAAACGCTGTTCGTGAAGGGAAATGGTGGGTTTTCGCCATTTCATACTCACCATCTTTGCTGCTGTTTGCGGACACTTTCAGGAAGCGGCTGCGCCTGCGCACGTACAGCGTCGGAGCATTAGCCAATGGCTAAACACTACTTCCTTTTCTTTCTTTCAAAATAAAAATCACGCAAATTTATTTTGCTTATTTACGAGAAAATAGTTCACTAAACTGTTGTTTCGAGTGAAATATTATAATTAAGTTAATTATATTTGTGTAAGATACATACATAAGCCCAATATTTTAAGTAATTTTATATTGTCTACCGCATTTGGGCAAATAAGAACTGAAGCAAGCTTTTATTTTGAAGCAGCAGTGTTACCGGATGTCGCTCGGTTCGCTATAACTGTTCCCTTAACGATTGTCAAACGAAGAGAGCAGCTGCGTTTCGCAGAATCTTCGAGAGGTAGGTGATAAATAATTTCTCTTTTCGCTCGGCTGCGGCTCTTTCTCATTCGGGTTTGACAGAGAAACGTGTTTCTGTAGAAAAACGGTAACTAGCTAAACATTTATTACTGAAACCACGTTTGAAACTGCGTCGAGTGCGTGTGGCTAACGGTGTTAGCTTCAGCAGCATGGCGTCACGTTTGGCCTCGGATTAGATCTGTGACATTTTAATTTGGACCTGCCCGTGAGTTTTCGTTTGGATCTAACTTTTGGCTTGTTTTTAATTTTATCTCAGTTTGTGGCTTTTTGAAATGTGTTTATTGAACGTTTTTATTGTCGATTAATGTGTTAGTTTAGCTTTACGCAGATATATGACCACGTCATTTTTCAGGTTACTTAATTACGCGATGAATCGTTGACACCGTTAACCCTCCTACATATTAGAGTTAAATTAATGTTTGACAGTTTTTAATGTGGACTCGTGTGAATAATCTGGCCGTTGGTTCCTTCAGATCTAAAGGCTGTCAGTCCGCAGTTTGTCTCGATTTAACGACTGTTTTTATTTATTTATTTTTGTCCCAAAGGTCCCCGAACCCGGAGAGGACTTTTCCAGATAAATCTCTCCCCTACGAGCTGACCCGCCTGCTGTGTTTTGGACCTGTCCGTGTTTTGAGCAAACCTTTTTTTATTTTATTTTATTTTTCAGACCTCGCTGGAATCGATACTCCACCGACTATCGATCACCGTTCACTGCGGCATCTGGACGATCAGCGTTGTGTTTATGTCTTTGTTTTGTGAAAACGGTGAGTTGTTCAGGGTCAGGCTGTTGGACATTTAGCGCCAGGATTGAAGGCGATGATTCAGGTTTCGATCGGACAGAGAGGCTGTTTTTTCCTCCCTGGAGTTCAGTGACTGAATGACGCACTCTGCACCAAACAGCCTCCTCCTGAAGCTACACACACAGACACACACACACACACACACACACACACACACACACACACACACA